TTTTTCTCTTGATGCCAGAAAAACATTTTGATCAGTTCCAAAAATAACAAAAGTATTTTTTATGCAGGTGCAAAATTTAAAACGAATAAAGTAAAGGATCATTTATCACATATCTCTGGAATATTAATATCTTATATTCTTCATTTTCAGATTCTCTGGAAAACTCCACAGCGCCCCCCAGTGGTAACTCCAGTGAGTCTCCCACCCCGACTCCTCCATCCTCCCTGCCTCTCCTCTCTGCCAATCATGAGGTGCAGCATGTGGAGGTCGAGCTGGTGACCCCTCCTCCGGCCATCATCGGGACATCGCCCAAAACCGGCATCATTCGCCGGACGCTCAAGTACTCAGAAACCGACCTGGACGCCGTCCCACTCCGCTGCTACCGTGAGACGGACATAGACGAGGTGATGCTGGCTGAGCAGGAGGATGCTGACTCTGCGTTCGGGAGCAACCGCAGCGTGCAGGGCACTCCAGGGACGGGCAGCAGCCCTCTGGGTGGTCTGGCATATGGGAGGACAGACGAGGAGGAGGCAGAGGACAGAAGAGGACAGAGAGGGGAGGAGGAGGAAGATGAGGAGGAGGAAGAGGAGGAAGAAATGGTGAGCTGGGCCAGTGTGAGGATGCAAGGAGACAACAGGAAGCAGCGGTTTGCAGCTCAGGAGGACCCAGACGTGTTTGGACACCTCCTGCAGAGGTGAACACGAGCAAACGTCACACAAGTTCTCTGGAAACACACACAACACTGGGGAGGCAGGATTTTCCTCTGACCTAAATTCAGATCTGAATCTGGATCACACCCATAACCTATTTTTCAAGTAGATCACAAACAGTTTTAAATCAGAAACAACTCGATCAGTCTCGTTAGAAATACAGATGTTCTTCTTTCTGGATGTTTCCCTGGTTAACACACATTTAATCTTTTCTTTATAAACACAGCTGTGTTGTTGCAGTCTCACTAAAACCTCCCTCTCCGTCCAGACCAATGGAAACGTTTTTCGACAACCACCACCCGGCCCTGAAATCCCCCATCTTGGTCTCGGGTCCTCGCTGTGCTGCGGAGGACACCTTCAGCCGCCACTTTGAGAGCATCATGGAGTCTCACCGGGCCAAAGGGACGTCGTACAACAGCCTGGACAGCGAGGAGCTGCTGACCTCCAGCACGCAAACCGTCCTGACCTTCGACCTGCCCACACTGACCCCTGCCATCCACGGGCTGGTGTGTCAGAGCGCCAGGCAGATCGTCAAACTCAGCTTCGCCCCACTGGCGCACGATGAGAGGCCCAGTCTCTCCGATTCTATCTTTACCATGACCGGGGACTCGGACGCCACCAGAGCCCCCTCCAGCGAGAGGCTGAGCAGCGGTTCAGATGACACGCCACCTAGAGGACGGGAGTGTACGCAGCTGGGGAGCAGCTGGTACAGTAACCCGTCTGTCTCTTTACTGAGGTGAGTCACATTTTGTCCACTTACAAAGTTCCATTACTTTGAAGCCGTATTCACTCTTTTACCTCTGATTTGGTCTCCACCGTCTCCTGAGGGGAATTTTTGGCTTTTCAGCAGCTTTCCGTGCAACTTTCTCACCAGCTAGTCCCCAACTTTGTCTTTGATTTGCTGGGAGATCATCGTCAGTTGTGTTTCTGATGGAAAAGATGGCGACGGGAGCAGTGAGAGTGAACCGCAGCAGAAAGCTGCAGGTTGTAAAGGAGAGATGTTTAAAGGAGCGTGGAGCTGACACGAGCTGCAGAGGGATCCACTTTTCCCTTTACATGAGGTCAGCTGACCCAGTGGTGATATAAAAAAGATTTAGACTCAGCATCACAGTTTATGTTCAGTAGGAGCCCTCGTGTTACGGCTCATTTCAGGACACAGACGAGATGTGGTGGATAAATAAAAGAGTTTTATTGTCTCTGGTTTAGTTTTGATAAGCAGGAGTCAGGCTGGTGACTGGGGACGACTCGGCCGGATGTGGTAGCAGGCCGACATGTGAATGGCTGGCAGTTTGATCCCAGTCTCCCCCATTCCACATGTCGAAGTATCCTCGGGCAAGATGGTGAACCTCAAATCACCCTGATGCAAACGCACGTGTTGTGATGATTAATCAACAATCTGGATCATGTTTGTCCTCAAATATAATTTCCTGATTTTCTTCTTTTAATCTTTTTAATATCAGCATCTGGTCGAGGTCATGATACGTTACGTTGTTTGTGTGATAAACTGATGACACGACTCCTACAGAGGATCAAATCACGGTGGAGTTTAGATGTGAATTCAGTTTTAATGCAGTTTTAATTGCCTCCTCTCTGTGGTCAGAAACGTCCGTTAATGGACTCGTTCAGAGAGTTGTGCTGCAGTGCTGCTCTGAAGTGGCTCCCTGTGGTCACTCTGCTGCCTGACAGGCAGGATGTGTGTGTGTGTGTGTG